ACGAATGGGAATTTATAATAACCGGTCTATTTTATGGCTTTAACGGCGACAATCGACAGGATAAAGCCCAAAACATTTTGCAGGACAAGGACTAAGCCCGCTCAAAGCCCTGGCTGGATGGATGAGTAGAGAGAAGCCCATTTCCCATGTGGCTCCTCTCCATATTTATACCCTGGGATCGGCATTAGTTTGGCATAAATTTTAAGGCTTACCCACCTCTATTCTAGTTATTTATGCAGAATAACAAAGCGCCGCTCAGAAAGTATTTAAATATGCATATGAAATGGGCGGCTGAAGGTGGAATTAAAACAGTGGATTAGCCCTACAAGGGAATTTCCTATAGAGTTTTGCTTTACTTCGAACAGGTAAACCTTAAATTGAGCAGATGCCAAATATATGTTGTATTTCATTTTCACTTTTAATTAAATTAAGAAGCTTTAATAAATTCGACAAATTCCTTTTACTTGCATAATCAGAAAGGCCATACAGTGGCTTAAAATTGTTAAGGAAATTAAGGATTTTGTACAATTTTTGTTTCGTTTTAAATATATTTTTAATATATACCCTAGAGGGTTAATTAAGCTAATGAAATTCTAATATAATTTAAAGTTTAATTACATTTTAAATCCAACTTAGAAAAAACAAACTATTGCCTCTTGTAACCATTTCTTTGTTTTACTTTCCCTGCTCAGATATATTTTAAAATTTAACCCACTAAGCCACAATTTCTTTTTATTTTTCTTTTCTATTTTTGTTTCTATTAAATATTTAATTTATTTAAAAATTTTACAAGCTTCCCAGGCCAGCAGCTTCCACTGTACCCGCTGAGGTATTGGCAATATAGCATTTTTAATACCTTTTGGCTGGATGCACAGGCACAAAAGAGTGCCACACCTGACCATACACTCGCAGTACCTCCAAGTTCCCCCTACATATATACAAACTATATATACATACATATATTGATTGTATATAGTTTATTTACCATTGTTGTTGGCTTTTGTGCGATGTGCGGCCTGTCTGTAGCCGTTGTTGTATTGTTATTGAAAAGCATTTGGCCATCAAATATGTATATGCACACACATAGCCGCATGTATATTCCACCTATTCAGATATCAATATACCCACAGAGAGTGTGTGGTGGACTGGCATCCAGGTCAGTGGATCAAAAATGCCAAAGACGACTTACAAAAGTTAAAAACAGGCTGGCTGGCTGGCTGGCTGGCCATCAGCATCGAAATGTGGCCCATAAATATTCGTATATGCACATCTGTCCTGCCCTCATCTGTGTTCCACTTTCGCTTTTTGTGTTTGTGCACTCTCCGGCAATGGGTCCAAGTTTCGGTCAAGTGGAGCAGGACTCTTCCCAGAGGGGGAGAAGGAGCAGCAGCCGGAAAGGCGAAGGTCAGCAGCTGTTCAATGCGATGGAGAAAAGTTTTTCCTGAAACTCAAGTACATTTGTGTTTGCTATTTATTTAATTATAATCATAACTTGGCCTAAGGAAATAAAGTTTGCAATAACTAATATTTATAATCCCTTTATACTTCATATTTCCGTATTCATTTCCTTAAAATCCCGACTCAATCAAAGCCTCAGAAATAGACTTGCCCTCGCATTTTTGGGGTTAGAACGAAAAGCCAAAGATTTTCGAAATCCCTACTTCCCTCAAAAGCCAATAAAAGTCAAAGCCAAGTCCCAATGCCAAGTCCCGATCCCATTTTCCGCCCATTTTCCGCCCTTTATACTCCTATTTCCCTACCCTTTTTCTCCACCCGCAGGAACCCCTTTGCATTACCATAAAAAGCGACTGCAGTTCGGGGACTACAAACGAAACGCATTTGTATGCACTTTTGCTTTTCCTCGCCAAACATCAGCCCGGCGAATGCAACATTAAGGCGAAAGTGTTGTTCCTTCATGCTCTGCATATGTGAGGGTGTGATGTGTGTGTATGTGTGTGTGAGTGGGCGGGAGGCATGGTCCGCTTATGCGTCATTATGCAGGGGAAGAGTGAAAAGGGAGAGATCAGTGCCTGAGTGCTTTTCCTTTGCTCATGAGCGTAGGGAAAGGCAGAAAAGAGGGATGCCTCATTGTTTGCCCATTGGGAAGGGGGTGGTAATGGGTTAATAGAGGGAGTTGCAAGAGAAAGGCCTTTTCTTTTCACTAAACCAAAGCTGCAATTGAAGATATCACAGAAGTCAATGTCTGGTAAATAGATTTATGGCTTTTTGCTGAAAGTAAAATATTGGAAAATAAATTTAATGAAGTGTGGTAAATTCTTTTTCTATATTAAATTCACATTTAATTTAAATAATTTTCATATAAATAAGATTGATTGATTTTAAATAATGAGTAACATTTGCGTAAATAAGCCGCAATCACAAAAGCTAATAGTATGCAATAAATTAGGCCATGAAACCAAAGGTAAATACTGCATTGATTTTGAGGTAATTAATTAAAATGGAGTTTTATTTGAATTATAACTAAATAAAATATTCAAATTAAATATAAATAAACAGGAGATAAATAATAAAAATTCAATTCATATATAAATTATTTAAGTATAATTTTAAAACATATAGATAATACAAATAATTATGAAGTTTTGCTAGAAATGCATTAAGATTTTGCTAATTTATATTAAATTATTGTAGTAATATTTTGTGTCATTAAAAAATATTTAAAAACAAGAAAGGAAGCTAACTTCGGCACGCCGAAGTTTCTATACCCTTGCAGATATTATTTCATTACATTTTACCTACGTATACTTATTATGTTTACAGTTTGACAGTTACAGTTTTGCATTCCCAGCTTTATATTTTATCTACATCTACCGATCGTTTATATGGCAGCTATATGATATAGTTGTCCGATTTTTATGAAATTCGTACCAAAATTCTGAAATAATAAAATAAGACTATATCTCAGAGTAGATGAAAATACGTTGAAAAACAACGAAGTTATAATTTTTTTCTATTAATTTCCTGATCGTTCCTATGGCAGCTATATGATATAGTCGTCTGATTTTCATAAAATTTTTACCAAAATTCAGAAATAATATAAAATGGTCATATGTAAAAAATAGTGCACATATGTTGAAAAACAGCTAAGTTATAATTTTTTTTCTAAAAATTTATTGAACATTTGTATGGCAGCTATATGATATAGTCGTCCGATCCGGCTCGTTCCGACATATATAGCAGTGAGAGCATATAGAAGACTATATGCAAAGTTTCATTCAGATAGCTTTAAAACTGAGGGACTAGTTTGCGTAGAAACAGACAGACGGACAGACAGACAGACAGACAGACAGACAGACGGACAGACGGACAGACGGACAGACGGACATGGCTAGATCGACTCGGCTGTTGATGCTGATCAAGAATATATATACTTTATAGGGTCGGAAACATCTCCTTCACTGCGTTGCAAACTTCTGACTGAAATTATAATACCCTGCAAGGGTATAATAACCTGTAAGAATATTTTAGAAAATATTAACAGTATTTTAATTTAAAAAAAAAGTCAAATGATTTCTCTGCTTTCACCAATTAATTCCTATATAATCCTTTTTATCCTGAACATTTTAGTCACCTTGAATTCTCTGATTGATAGAGCTCTATCCTTTTTGCGACCTGTAGAGCATTTGGTAATCGTTTTTCGCAGGATTTTTGTGCTTGGCACAATAGAAGCCACTAAAAAGAGTAAACAATTTGCGCGCATAAAAGCCGTTGAGCAAATAAACTCCTTCCACAAAATCCTGGCAGCCCAGAACAATGCAAATAAAACAAAAGCGAACGAAACGAAACGAAACGAAACGAAACGGAGCAGTTGAGCTTGCCTACTAATGCAAACAGAGCCAAAGCCACACAAGCACACCACACACACACTGCCACACTCGCACACCCACAGACTTTGGCAAACACACCCCTTAACCCATGCCGGCCGCAAGGTGCTTTGTGATGTTTTTGTTGTTCCAGCATTGGTTTGCGGGCTGGGATGTTTAATTTCAGCTGCGGATAGGCATCCAGCCATTTTTTTAATCATGTTTATGGCCAAGCAAATACACACACACATTTTTAATTGCACTCGAAAAATTATAAATTCAAAAAATTGGACATATATACAGTTTAAATTTCCATAAATTCAAAACCTAGATTAGCCGAAAATGCCACTGTAATTGAATGTGAACAATTTGAAATTCATTTAGAGCATTTAAAATTGGCTCAATGCCATTTAAATGGTATTTTTGCATTATTAATTGTCCAGGTAAAAGGCGATGAATCAAGGCAAAGGTTTTAGGCTTATGAGACACACCTCTCAAACATTTCTAATTTAAATTCATTGCTTCTGAGTCAGGCATTTTTAATTGTCTGAATCAATCCGCGCTCGAAATTTTAATTAAATATTTAAATTAAATGCGCATACAAGCAAAACCCGAGAGCGAGGAGAGGTAAATAAATGCACATACGAAATGTCCTTGGGCTCCCTTTTCACCCATTTAGGTTGTGTTGAAATTTCATTTTTTATTATTTTTTTGCTGCATAATAAATACATTTTAGTAGTCCGCCATTCATTTGCATTCATTAGGAATTTTATTCGTGTGGGTTTTACGCGAGTGTGTGTTAGCAATTAAACAAAAACTCCCCTCGCCCCAAGGAGACGGGACTGGGGCAAAGTCAAGGACAATTTCAGGCTTTGCACGTGCCACGCGCACAGAATCGTGCTCGAGCCCAGGACAATATCAAATAGTCCTGCAAAAATGTGGAAAGCCTTTTAAATGTGCATATGGCAATGCACAAAAGAGCGAAATGCAGTTCCCACATGACGCTGATTACACAGAAAGCGAACAGAATACTCTTACTTTTGGCGGGAGTAGAAGTATAACAAAGCCAAGGATAATTTAAGAGATGAATGGGATTTGGAAAGAGCTGAATTTCTGGTAGGATAAGGTAAGCCTAGTCTATAAAATATCAAAGTGCTAGATTTGTTTGTCAAATCATAAATACAAACACTTCAAGTTTATTTATAATTCTAGAAAATAAAGAGTATTAATTATGGCTTCTTACCCTAAAAGGTATGTATTTTTTCATTACACATATGATATTACCTTTGTGCGATTTTAACAATAGCTTCAACCCCCTTCACAACTATTCAACTTTTAGATGTGAGAACAGAAATTTTCAATTAATTCCCCCTGAACTTTTGTACTTTATGCTAGTTTCTGATGCAGAATGGCCTGTGGAATCCAGGTATGCCCGCACACGCTTGCTAAAGACAGAGAGAGAGAGAGGACAAAGGTCAAGTCCCAGATTGCCACGTAGGCAAAAAGTGGATGCCACCTGCCGTCGGCCTAGTTTCGTCGCTGTTCCCCGAAGCATTTATGCCAGCCTTGGTTCCAGCATCCCATCCCCTTTCGCCTCCTGTGCCCCATATTACGATCTGACCTTTGGCCATTGTATCTAAAAGCCTGAAAATGTTGCTCCGTCATGCGGTGGGGACTTTAATATAGAAAAGGCCGAGGCCGCTAGAACAGCTGGGCCAACTGACCATTGGACTGCACCTCCTGCTGCTGACCATCCATCCTCCCTTCGCCCAACCGCTTTTCCCAACTCATTTTCCGATTTTCCAGCTTTTCCTGACCATTTTCTCGGGGCAACCTTCAGACCGGGCCGCAAACTTTTGATTAATGTTTGTTAGTTTGTCTCGGCGTAAAATGTATTTGTTTTAAAACAAAATGCAGTGCACAAAGTGTGAACGAAAGCGAGAAAGAGAGAGGTGTGAGTGAGATGCAGATAGCACTGCTCCTGGCCATATCCTTTTTCCCGTTTCCCCTTTCACACCACCGCTTTTCTGTTTCAGCCAAAGGACTTTTGCTTTTAATTCTCTCTGTGCTTTTTTATGGCTTTGCCTGTTCCGTTCTCATAGCCTGGCATATACATATATATATATGTATATATATCCTTTTTTTTTTTTTTTTTGGTATGTTGGTCCTTTGCTTATTTATCCCCCCTTTATTCACTTTATTTTGGGTGTTCATTCATCTTCACAGTCCGCAGGCGCGCAGAAAAAATATATTTTTTTGATATATTGACTAGCAAAATATTTGGCTTTTACACGTGTCTATGCACACAAACATAGAGCGAAACACTATCCAAGGAATGTCTTTTTTTTTTTTGGCTTGGAGAGATTTTCACAGTATAGAGAGATGAAATGAAATATTGGTGTCTTTTGAGAAATAAAATTCTATATTTTTGTGGCTCTTAAATCAGTTTAGATTATTATTTCAAATACTTTCTTTACCACTTTCCATCACTATTCAAATGTTGTATATTATTATTTCACTTAGTCAATGTCCCCTGTTTTAGGTACATTTTAGTCATATTTTGGCGTATATTTTTATAGGTTCACATAGGCTGTGGGGCTGTGAGGCTGTGTGTGTGCGATGTAGTCAAGCGTAAACTAAAAGATTAGAATTTCAAACATTTTTTTGCACTCAATTCTTTTTAACCGATACCCAATTTGTTCGGGGTCTGCTCCACTCTGCTCCTCTCTGCTCCTTTTCCTTGTCCAATTTGTGGAGCAGCTGCCAAGAAGCGGAGAAAGGGCATGACGGAGGAGTCTCGAGCAAGACAAACGAGGTCTTAATGCGATGGCCCCCGAAATGTAGGCAGCGGAACACTTTTAAAGCAAACGCAAAAGAGCGGCATTTAATATACGTTTCACGCTTGATTTGTTGCCCACAAAAATATGCTTTAAATGCCTAATGGCCACAGTATTTGATGCTGCTGGAAACGTGCTGATTTCCGGCTTGGGATAAAGGATGCCCGCAGGAGGGTTTAATGAGTGCGCCCCACGGCCTTTGGGCGAGACAAGGCACGCATCACGAAATTAGTAGGGAAGGGCCCAGATAAGAATTAGCCAGCTGGAGGGGGTTAAGCCGCGCCATTGTTCTGCTGAGGCTCTCTGGGGTAAGCTTTCTCCCATGGTCTTTATGGGGTTTTTAGCAGAAAATATAACCAGTAGATGGTGGTTCTTAAATTATGATTGAATGGGAATTTAAAGATAGCATATTAAATACATAGATAATTAAATTTAGCTTAAATTTACCTTGATTAAATTATATTAATTTTAAAATATAATAATATTTATCTAGTTTCTTTTAGTAAAACAAAAATCAGCTTTAAAAGGGCTGGAAATAAAAAGATATAACTATAATAAAGATTATCTTAATTGTTTAAAAAATCAAAAAAATATATCATAAGTCCTCGAACATATATAAAATTCATATAAAATTCCTATAAGGAAAATCCCCATCCCATTTAAACAGGGTATCATTGCAAACTAAATGCAATTGAAACAAAATGCAGCTGCCAATTGAGGGAATGTCAAGTTCAGAGTTGCGTGTTAAGTGGAATGATGCAATGATGGAATGATGGAATGTTGCAATGTCAGTTGATTGCGGAGGGTGGCGGGTGGTGGGTTTGTTGAGTGAGACATATACATATAGATGCCACCAGTGACTGACTAATCAGAGGAGCGCCGAGGTTGTCAGCAGTCGAAGCGATTCAACCGTCATCGTTGGCGGCGCATGTAAAGCGATATTTCAGCTGTCACTTCATGCTCCAACTATTCCAAATCAAATCAATGCGAAAGGATTTTTCCCACACCAGATCCTCCGACTGGTTGGCAATGATTTATGTTAAAAGGACTGCACACACGCAAATTGCGAGAGGGGGGAAAGCGAAACGAAAGCGTTACACCTTTTACCAACGCCATGAAATCGATTGCGTATCACCTATTGAAAATGCTGCAGAAAAAATCAATTCACAAAGTTAAATTCAGTCAAAAGCTGATGGAACATTTATTGAGAGTGGATAGAGGTTGAAAAGAATTTTTATAGAGGTAACTTTTTATAAAGAAATCTATACTGTTTATTAATTTCTTTTTACTACTTTATCTTGACTTACAATTAGTTTAATTTGATATAAAAAATGTATACAAATTTACTGGAAATTTCTTAAAATAGAAATTGAACGAAAACTATAAGAACCATTATTTCTTTAAGCAATTATTTAGTATTTGTGCTGTTTAAACATTTTATAATTCATTTATCAAGTTTATAAGTGTCATAACAATTTTTTTTTATATATATAGACAGAAAATCACTATAATTTCTCTTCTTAAAAGTTTCTTTTTCGCTCTTCGGCTTTTCTACAATAATTTATTAGTCTCCTTGATTTTCGTAGAGTGTTCTTGAAAGCCAGCTTTCGGAGGTCCTTTTCCTCTACACTTTTCATTGTCGTGTGAGTTTTTCCACCATAAATTCACAAAAGTGAATCTACATTGCAAATGCAGGCGAATGTGGGAGTGTGCAGGAGCGGCTGGCTGGGTGTGTGTATGTTAAAAAGGAGAAACAAAGCATAAATGTAGCTCAACGTGTTTCGTGCCAGGACACAAAAGGAGCAGAGGAGAGAGCAGAGCGTACAGAAGCTAACGAAGCGTAAAGTTTGCTACCTCCTTCTCCCCCCCACTATTGTCCCGCCCCCTCTCCATCACAATTCCCGCAGTGTTTGCCTTGTGGCATTTTTTATTAAATATTCCTAATAAATTATGCAAAATTTCTGTATTGCCCAGCAAGAGAGAAAGAGAGAAAATGGAAAAACTGTGAATTCGGGGCAAATCAAAAATAAGGAAACAAAAAAAAAAAATGGGGGGCGGCCATCTGTGCGTGTGGGCCTGCCATAACTATCAATAACTTGGCCCCAAAATCCAGCCTCAGATTCTTGAAGCACTAAACTGCACAGAAAGAAATGAGAGTGTGCCTATAAGATACAAGAAAATAATAAAGATACTTGACACATTTTTTTAAATGTAAAAAAAATTCTGAAATATAATTAAGTTTGATTATTTAGCATTTGTATGCCATTATCTTATATTTACTTCCCTTTTTTTTCTTTGTGTAAAGTAAAAATGTACGGAAAATGGGATTAAGAATAAGATTTTTGTGGACGGCCAGCGGGGGCTGCATTATAATACAATAAAAGTAAAGGATATCGCTGTATCCGCTCGTGTTCTGTGATAATAAAATATAAAAATTGAAATATGGTTTGCAATTGAGTAAGCGCATTGAGTGGAAAGCCTGAAATCGCTTTTCCTGTGAAGGGAAAAAGCCACAAAGGGATTGCCGACCCTGTCAGCGGCGATATCTTTGTATCTGAGAGAGCGCAGTTTATCCGTGATGGATGTCGTAAAATGTCCTCTGATAGATGTGATTCAATAAGTTGGTGAGTTGGAGCGAAAGATGCCATCAGAAAGAAGTTTTATTATGTTGCTATTTGAACATGTTTTTCAGCTGCGTTTTGATTAAATGAAATGTGAAGTATTTGTTTATTACAATTGAATTACCTTCATTAGGCTGTAAATATTTTGTTTCCACATGCAAATTTTTTTTCCTGGAGACCCCCAAACCCTCGCCTTCGAATCCAACATCCTGGAAAATTCAATCAATCTACAAATGAATGCATCACAAATAAAAATCTCGACAAAGTCAAAGTATTCCGCATTTATTCCGCTTTTCCCTTTTTGGTTTCTGAGAAGGGTTTTTCCGCCCAAACCCAATGTCGAGCCAACTCAGCCGTAATCAATTTACAATCGCATCATCATCATCATCATCATCATCATCATCAGCAGCACTTCCCCCGCTCGATTTTTCTTCACAATTGCCTGCGCATTCCATCACCCAGAGAAACTCTCTCTTGGTGATGTATAAAAATGGTTAAACAAAGAACTTGGCTTATGAATTAATAAGCTCACACAAGCAAATCGGGGAAAATGCGCTCACATTCGACATACAGACAAGGAGGAAAAGCCTTATAAAAAATCTGCAGCACCAGCAACAAATACAGTGACAGCCATAACAATAAATACAACAAATGTCTTATTTATTTTGGATTTCTTGCCAGCAACGAAAATGGAGAAAGGAGAAATTAAGTTGCCGCCTGCAGCTTTGTAACACCAGAACAGATTGCCACGCCCACGGCCCCAAAAATGCCTTCCAAACACACACACACATACCCCCGCACCCGCATAACAACAAACAAGAACAACACAATAACAGGGAAAAACAACAACATCAGCACGAAGGGAACGCAAAGAATGTTTATCTGATTTAAACGTTGGCAACAGTCAGTCGGCCACATTTCCCCACCTTCTTCTTTCCCCCCTTGTTTTCCATTGCCCCATCCTGGGGCAACCTTTTGCGTGTCTTTGGCTGCCGGCCCCTTTTCCCTCCGGTTTTCTCCGCAAAAACTTATGTTTTTTTCCGCCACTCTCCCCTCTTTTTTCTCTCCCTCTGACCAAGCTTAATTTTCACTTCTGCTGGAAACTTTAATATTAATCATACGACCCGCATGACCCACGAAAGCAGTCCAGTCTACACAAAGAGAAAAATAGTAGCTTATTTGGGAGAGGGTACTTTCTCATAAAGAACGCGATCTAGATAACGTTCTTATCTTTCAGCTAATGTAGTTTTCTTTTATTTGAATTAACAAGAAAGGTAACCAAATTAAAGGAATTTTTTAATAGAATTTGAAATTGTTAAAAAAAAAATATTTTTTGTTTTCCTGATTTGTTCCTATAGCAGCAATATACTATATGTGTATATACTATATACTTATATATTGCCAACAAAAGCAGACTATTTGCAAAGATTCATTCAAATAGCTCTTTAACTGAGAGAATAAAAAATAATGCCTTATCAATGTTTATATTTTATTTTGTACATATGAGCTTCATTCTCATACACACATACAAAAATATATAAATTAAAACTCATAAAGCTTTTGTAAATAAACATCTCTTATCAATCCCCGCCGAAGCCTCATCAAAAGTTTTAGAATAGTTTGTGAATCAGTTCTTCAGAGATTTTCAGCTATAGCGGTCCACACTCTCTTTCATTTCAAGGATGCACATCTTCGGTACTTATATCCTTTGGGCGCTGGCCGCCATCTCCCTATGGCAAGGATCCTTAGCAGAGAATGCTCGCATCTATGAGAATCTGCAAAGCTTGGAGTGGAAAGTGGAAAGAGTGGAAAGAAAACTGGAAGGCCTGCAGGTCAAGTTTGAAAATCAACTTGACCGGATTATGAACCAAATTGAGGGAGTATCGAAAAAGTTAGATGCTGCCAAGCTGGAAATCCCGGATTTAGTTAGGAATTCTGTACCATTTGGTTTCGAACGATTCGATAACAGATACTTCCGTATATCCGATGAACTTGTGAACTGGGACACTGCTGTGCAACGGTGTCGTGAAATGGGAGGTTACCTAGCCTCGATTCGCAATGAGAAAGAAATCCTCGCAATTAAAGAAAAACTTGTTGAATCGAAAGGATACTGGCTGGGCAGCAATGATCGTCTCAATGAGGGTGTCTACAGATCTGTGGCCTCCGACAGGCCAGCGCAGTTTTTAATATGGAGAAAGGGATACCCGGACGACGAAACCCACAGACAGAACTGCGTTGTGTTGCAAGGAGGCTTAATGATGGACTTTAATTGTAGCGATCATTTCCGTTTTATTTGCCAGATGGACAATAACTCTTAGTCATATTGGAACAAATTTATAATTTTAAAATAATAAAATATTAATATTATCTTGAATAAAGCTCCGTCTGCTTAAAAAAATATGCTACTTAGGTACCTTGTGAAATGTGTATATGTGTATATAATGTATATATGATAACAAAGAGTACGGTTAGCGTTATAAATAGCTCTTATCAATCCCAACTTGGACCTATTGCTAGTTGGGCATTTGGGAATCAGTCGATAAGAGACTTTCACCTTTACCCCGGAGCCCGTGTCTTGCGTCACGCTGCTTTAACAGTGCTCTAAACTACATGTCTATTTTTCAATAACTAAAATTCAAATTTCATAATCTTTTTTATAACAAATAAAAAAATAATTTACTCCTACAACCTGTTGTCTTTATTTTATTTATAGATTCTGACACTTAAAGTTTATTTCCCATTTAAAAATATACTCGCAATTGATTAATTTCTTTTCTCTAAATGTCCAAAAACAAAGTTTCAAACAAAAACAAGACATATACTTCCAGATGGTTACCCCAGACCTCCACATGAATCGCCAAGTGTAAATATCCCACGGAGCTTCGTCTCTTCTATTGACTCACTCTTCCCCTTTCCCACAACTAAAAATGTGTTTTCTGCGGTTGCAGTCGCCAAACGTCAAAAGTTCTTAGTTAAATTCGTTTTCGTTTTTCGCAAACTTTCCTCAAGTGGCTCATTGTGGTTTAGCTGGCGCTGTGAAATGTTGACCCACCAACGGGATAGGAATAGGGAAACTAGGAAAACCGAAGGGGGAGTTGGAAAATGGGAGATAACCATCGCGACACTTGCTTACTTTTGACAAGGACACGAAGCACGCACACAAACAAGCGACCGAAACTAACCTAAGACTCCGACGCCAAGCTCTCTGCGGTTTCCGACAACAACTATATATACAGATATATATATATATACAAGCTTAAGTTAAGACTAAAACCAAGACATGCTAAAACTTTTCGGATGTGCCCGGGAAAACGCAAATGATTAAGTGCGTAGCGCGCCATAATTCAACAAGACAACATTGCAGCTATGGCTGCCAAGGGAAAACCCCAAACTGACAGGAGCTGGAGTTTGAGATCTAGTGAAAATGTGGGGGTTTTCCACCGCCAATGATGCAATTGCAAATGACATGGCCAATGGAGCGCGAGTTGCCAATGCGACTGCAAATGCCTCATGGCAGGGATAAGTTTTGATGGAGTCGAATTGAATTTGATGCCACAATGAGCCCGGCTTGAATAAAGCCAAATGAGAAGCGCGAAATCACAGCGGGGATTAAGGGCATAAATCTGGCATCCAGGGTCAACTTTGGCATTTCGTAAATTAGCGCACAAAAGTTTGGTCCTAAGCAGAACCTTGTGTTAATGTTGTCTTTGGAGGTGCTGAGACAACGGTTTTCTGGCCAAAAAGTAGCTGTTGGTTAAGTAAAGAGATGGCTAAGAAGTGGGAGATGATAGCCAGATGATACTTCAAAAATAGATATATAAATAAATTAATTAATTAAATAAAAAATATACATACAATTCAATAAGTAAGCTCTATAAAAGAGTAGCTATTGGTAATGCTAAGAAATGACTAAGAATTAGTAGATTATACCTAAGAATATTGAATAATAAATAAATTAATTAACACTCAAAGGGTAGTTCCCCTTAAATTTGTTATACCTTAAGCAAGTCAAAAACTTATATTTGGCTTCCAATTTCTGCCCTTCTAGCTTAGCATTCTCTTGGCTTTTCCGCTGATTTTCCAGCACTTCCTTGCTAACAGATTTCCCAGCGAAAACAGCAAACACAAGTTTTGCTGTTTAGCATTTCAACGCAAAAAGCAGACAGAGTTGTTGCTGCCTCTCTGTGGCAGTATAGCAATTAATATGTATCTCTTACTCGGCACGCTTTATCGCCGCACTCCACTCCTTGGCAAATGGAATTTCTCTCCATGTCAGGGATTCTTATATATTTTTGTTGCTATTTGTTTATTTTCCCTGCTGTTCTGTTTTGCTTTCTGGGTGTTGTTTTCTTGCTCTCATATATATATATTTTCTTGTTTTTTTTTTGTATTTTCCTCCTCCATCTGCTGTTGGACAAAAACTTTGCACGTAGCCATTTTATTTAGTGCCTGGGCATTTGGCGCAGTTACAGTTAGTGTTACATTATGCCACGCCCAGTGCGCCCATCTAAAGCAGACCAGACGCACATTTTTGGCCAGCATTTTCAAGCAAGTGATTTATGACAGGCTACATGGCGTATACTTGATATTCCCTTTTAGCCATTGCATGCAAAACGCATTTTCGCAAATTTTTAAATGGCTCGAGAAAAAAGGCAGGAAGAGGAAGTGAAGAAGCAAAAATGAGTGGCAAGAAATGGCACGCGCTCGAGTTAAAAAATTTAATTAAAATGCACATTTGTTTGTCCTTGACAGCGTTTTATATTTTTACTTAATTGGTAGAGCCGAGACGAGCAGCCTCTAAGCGAAATGAGAGCGATGAGCACACGCCAGGATGTAGGATTACACACACACACATACACACTGCACTGGCAGATGCGGTTAGATAGGGTTGGCTTCCAGAAACGTTGACACAGATACTAAAAACACGCACGACCAACCTGAATTAGTCGGCCCAGAAGTGTGCGAGCGACTCCAAAATGTAGTTAGGCAGGCAGGACAGGACGACATCCTTGTGCCATCTTGATGCCATTTTGCAACTACTCGAAATGAAAGCGAGCCCCGGCAGAAGTTAACTTGATTATGCAGGCGGGGGACACGTACATATGTAGTTGATCAACTTGCGTGAGATTTAATAGAATTGACGAGGTGGGAAAAGGCCCAAATGAAGGCGGGCACTTGGCGTAAACGGCAAGTGACATAAATGGCGAATCAAGCGGAGTTTATAGTGAGCGGATGAGGAGTTTGTCAGTTGAGAGGGATTATTATTCAGGAGGAAATTAAATTAATGTGGCTTGTACTGCGTCTTGTTTGTAGATATTTAATTCGGACACAACAAGGCTTAAAATTACACTCAATTCCTAACTGAAATTCTTACTGAATATCCATAATTTGAAATCATACATTCACTGCCAATTATTCAAGTGTTTTACTAATTAAGTATCCTCTCCGTTGACACCGGATACCTGCCTGCTGGGCATCCTCTTTTGGTTTCCAATTCCCACACAGCTTTTTCCGAAATCATTTCCGCCTGCTGGAGGAGAGACTTTTGCATTTCCAAGCGTGAACTTCTGCTGGTGTTATATTTCTGGCGGAAATTGGTAGCAGCATGAATTTGTTTGGACCCAGCTACGAGCTACGTGCCGCAACAGCTGCCAACTTACTGCAATTTTTCACATTCCAACCGAGTCAGACTGAGACCCCGAATCCGTTCCGACATCCCCTGCCTTTTATGGCACACAATTATGGGGGATTGGCATTAACCCGGAACTGGGACTTTGCCTGGGATCAGCCGAAACTAATATCCATTTCAGCTTGTCCCCTGTCCAAAACAAAACGCATTAAGGCGGAAGTGCATTTCGGATTTATTTTTGCATTCCGCATTTCGCATTTTGCGAGCGGAGACATGCACGTATTCATATTTACCTAAATAACTACTCCCAAAGAGGGGAGGACATTCTCCTGTTGTCCTTTTTATGATGGGCATACAAATGCTGTGCCAAAAGGATTTTACTTACAAACGAGCGAGCAGAGAAAAAAGTGCAGAAGAATCGCATTGTCCCTTTGGCTGAGCTCTGCTGGGAGAATGGAGGATGGAGGCTGGAGGAGGCAGTCGGAAGGACGAAGGACGCAGGACTATGGCGACGGGGTCATAAGACAGGGCATAGACAAGCGTACAAGGATATATAGTCTGTCCCTGCTGTGGCATACGGATTTGTTTTGCCCCGCTGCAGATGATGAGGACAAGCACGAGGATAAGGACGATGATGAGCCTGCTCCTTCGCCTCACTCTTTCTCTCTCTCTCTCAACTTATGTGCAGTCACGGTCTGTCTACTTTGTCGTTCGCCCCGGCTCACTGTCTCCGTCGCATCTTGGCTGGGACATGGGACATGCATAAGTGGCTGCCTCACAAAACTTGTTATTTGTATTTACTTTTGATTGTTGCAACTGCATTTTGTTCTCTGTTTTCCTCTGCAGACACAAGTGTCAACACAGAAATTGCACTTTACTTTAACTTTTATTCTCCGGCGGTGCTCTCAAAACAATTAAATGGCTGAGCTGCTCAGCAGCCAGTTGGCCCTTTACCCGCCCTCTGAGCTATTTTCGGGCTGCTGCATTTTTTATTGGCCAACTGTCAGGCTTGCTTGCCCTTAAAAATTTGCATTCCCCTCCCCCATCTCTTTTTCGGCCTCCCTCCTCCCCTTCTGCTTTTTTGCCATTTGTTTTCCTTGACGTCACTCACTACAAAATGAACTGTCAAATGGGAAAATCGAAGGCAGAGTCGTCGGGGCAAGTGAACGAAACGAGGCTGTCACTGCCTGAATGATGCTTTAATGGGACTCATGTCATGTTGTATAAAATAAATACTATATGGATATACAAATAAATGGCTATATGTGAGAAAAGAGAAGAGCATTAACAAACAAAAATAGTTTTGGAGATAAATTTGTGATTAAAAATACGCAAAATTTGATCTCTATCGTGAAAAAAACTATTTATAAATAAGTAAAATTGGGATTTTAATTAGTCACTATTATTATGCACATTTTAAAGGTGCTTCAAGGTCTTCAAATATTAATATTTGGAACTGACTCTCTTTGTTATTTCATTAAATAATCCAAGATTTACTATCTTTTGTATAATTCTTGAAAAAATGCTTTTCAAAAATGGTACATTTGGAATACTTCAGGTTCTTGAATCGCCTTTTTCCCTTGTTTTTTTCCTGCTTCATTCCAGCATTAAATGTCCTTATTGACTACCGTATTTGCTCCTTCGGTTCCACGCCACTTAACTGAACTCACTCAACTCGAATGCATTGGCTGGCAAGAAGGACCAACACATGACGTCACGAACAGGTCGGGACTCCTGTTGGCATTTCCCAAAGAACCGCCCCTCTCCAATGCCAGTTTTCCCCCATTTTCCATAGAAATAAATGCCCCGGCTGGTGGTGGCCAGTCACCCACAAATAGCATTTTGTGTCTATTTTAGTGTAATTTTCCACTTAAACGGTTTTTTCTCTCTCTCTCTCTCTCTTTCGAGGGCGGCTGCTGGGAAAGCCTTTTGGGGAAGTCCGACCCAGCAAGAAGTCATCTGCTGGTGCTGCGTCTGGCAGCCGCCAAAAAATGGCAAGTTGAAATGAAAATTATTGGTTCCCTCCCAGCTTTTCCCCCTGCTGAATATGGAGGAAGGGCTAAAATATATTGGACGGCCCCAAAATTGAGTTTGAGCGGTTTTTCCCACAAACACACACACACACGCCCCCCTAGTTTTTCACTCCTCTCCTATCGATTTCAATTGTGCTAAGGCAACTGTCTCTCCATCCGATTTTCCAGCCATTTTTCGCCGCCCCCTTTTCGCCCCTTTTCGCCCCTTTTCGGCCAACTTCAAAGTGAGCAGCGTGCAATGAAATTGACACCCGCAGCGTCGACTCCATTGGAATGAAACTATGGACGGGTGAAAAATAAATGTGTAACGAAATGGAAGCAACTCCCTGCTTTCCCATCCAGGATTCACCCTTTCCCGCCGCCTCCATTTTCCTTGGCAATAAAACCATTTTAATGAGATTCAAGCTTTAAATTTCGCGCTTTATTTACGTGAGTGTTGTGCAGGCGAGTGTAATGCGATGGGAGGGTCGAGGGTGGGTAAAAAGGCGGCTGGCCACAAGGGGCGGGGCATAAAAGTGGGCAAAAGTATGTTAACTTTGATGGCTTTGTGGAAGGAATTGAAGACATTTTTGGTACCCAGTGGAAATATAAAATTAAATTGATTTCAGGGATGTTGTTAGTATTTTGGATTTTAATGTTTGTTTTTAAATTTTAAGAACTTGTATATTAATAATTAATGATTTCCCCTATTCTCGAAGTCATCTTAAATTTTGAATAACATTTTAGTATCCCAAATATCATATTATAATTAGTATGCTTTTATGTGTGCTTTATTTTTAAGCTCTAACCAGTGAATTTTTAAATATTTTTCTTTATGTTTTATACAATCTATAAAATATTAAATAAATACAAAAATTACAGTAAAGTAAAACCGTTGCTTGGCATACAACCAAATATACCCCATCAAGGAATACCACAAAAAGGTGCCAACTCAATTATGTAGCTCCACGGGAATTTTAATTAAAAGCATGCAGATGATTTAATTGATTCCGGTGTATATAACGCATACGCCTTGTGGGCCACGGATGCCGGTGTCGACGCCGAGGCCAGGCGCCAAGCTAACTGCGTGGAATGTTCCATTACTGACCAACGCCAGCTAAGCAGGCCACTTAGAGAGAGTTGGGCAAATATTTTAACAACTTTGTTACGGCATTTTTACGAAAATTGGACGCCAGCTGGACTGCGAAGACAAAGCGCCTCCCGAGATGCGAGGTTTACACAGTTAATAATAAAAACCATTTACTATGCAAATATTTGATCGGCTGGCAGGTCAGCGGGGAGGAGGAGGCCAACGAAGGCCCAAGGATCTCGGTCCATCTCGGGCAATTTTTCACGCTTAGCATATGGGGAAATTTTGTTGAATTTTTGGCAGCTGGATGGATGAAAGATGAGCGGCGGAGTCAAGTCAGAAACCAAGTCGAGTGCCGGGAAATGTGTTTGCGATGGGCTAAGTATGCCTTACACTGTGCACATGCATTTTGAAATCCACCCCCTGACTTCTCTGCGTGTTTGCTTTGACTTTGAGCGTGGGAGCATCCATGAAAAATTAAAAAGGGATTTCCATGCGGCAGCTGAAAAGCATTTTCAATGGCGACTTGAGCAAGTTTTTCGGTCGCCTGTCAGCATTTTCCCTTTTGCGATTTTTCGCCGCCTCGGAAGATGATGCATGTCGGACATGTGCTCGAGATCGAGTGGAATGCGATGCAGTCAAGCATGTGGCCTGCATTTAATTATGGGGATTTCCCTGGGTTTTGCCAAAGCCAAGAGAAGCTAATTTAGCTGCAAGAATGTGAATTGCCTTGGCCAATATTCTGTGGCAAAAGGCACTTTCTCTAGCCACAAGTTTGTGGCTTCTAATGATGGGAAGTCAGGGACTATGGATTGTGTATCCTTTTTCCTTTAAGAAGAGGGTTTCATAAATATATTAAGAGATCCTTGAACTTAATAAACAAGAGTTCAATATATTTTAAACCCTTTTTACCAATTTCTTTATTTACTTTCTCAACTTTTATTAGTTGAAAAAGTATTTTCCTATTTAATTTTAAAGTTTCTCTCTGCCTGAAATATGTAAAATAAAACATAGATGGTAAACCTAAGAGCCATTACATTTTATTGTCAATTTAGTCAAAGCCACTTTTGGCCATCACTCCTGGCCCCCCGCACACTCATCCGGTGAACTTGTTTGCCAAAAACGAACAACTTTTCGTTGCACTTTCAACTCATCTGAAATTGCGATAGGTCAGGTTTTGTCAACCCCCGAGAAACGAGAAATGAAAAACGGAAAAACGAACAACGGGAAACGAGAGAGTTTCCATTAAATTCTGCTGCTCGATTCATTCCAGGGCAAAGGTGGCCGAGGACATCAATTTGCCGCCCCCGCTCCGTTAAACTCTAAATAAAATATAAAAAAGAGAATGTTGTTCGGGGCTTACCTTGTGCAATAATAAAAATTCGTTGTACAAGGTAGTTGGCAACTCGTAAAAGTGTTGCCAATGTTGATGTGGCTGCTGTTGCTGTTGCTGCTGCTGCTGCTGGTGCTGCTTTTGTTGTTTTAGCATCAAATGCTTTGGCGAACTTTTGGCTTAGTTGTTGTTGGCGATTTGTTGTTTGTTACTTTTGTATTAGCCATAGGACATAGTTGTTGCCATCGTTGATGACCGAGTGAGTGGACCTGCTGCCGCTGACGATGTTGATATTGCAGCCATGTTGCTGCTGTTGCTGTTGCTGATGCTGCTGCTGCTGTTCATTGTTTGTGTTTCGAGAGAGAGATAGAGTTTTAAAACGTTTTGTGCTTATTGTTTTAGCCACTTGTCATGGAATGAATTTGCAAACTATTTTATTTGCTCGTCTCACGCCCTTTTAGGCAATTGTAAACAATATCTGGCGCTTGCCCCTTTTTTCCTGATGAATTGTTTATGGGCATTTGGCTAACGATAAGGGAGAACAATAAAAATTTAATTTTTAAAATATATATTCACGTGTGCGGATTTCACATTTCACTCGCTTCCACTGACGATGATGATGGCCGTGGCAGCCCATATGCCAGAAGATTTATGACCAAACAAAATGGCAAGACAGCCCCCGCCGAAACCTGCTCCCCAGTGGCCCATGAATTATGCAATGAAATTTATTTCATTTTTCCCCTATGGGGTGAGAGGAGAGCACATGAGCATTTTTTAGGACTGAATGTCGGGGTCGTCGACAGACTTCTGTTATTGTTATAAATGTGGGAGAAATGATTCTTTAATTTATGAAAAAGAAGAAAATCAAGAAAATAAAGAACAAGTAGCGTATTTTTTCCAGCTCCATTAAAGCAGCGCTGATAACTTTTCACTGCGGCAAAGTTTGCCCGAGGACTCGTTGACACCTCGGATCCTACAGGATTCCCACTCCCCCTCCTGACCTCGGCCTGGCTCGCCTTCCTTCCACTTATTAGTCTGCGTTTTGCAAATATTTGCATACGAGGCACGTTTCAGTCATTTTTCTTCAGCTCATTCCTTTTATTTTGTTCCTATTATTATTATTACTCTTGCTCCTTCGCTGTGCCCTCATCCCACACTTCCTTCTTCAAGATTTTCCCATTTTTGCCGTTTCTGCGTCCTTTGTTAAAGTGTAAATGCGAGATTCCTTGGCACCATATTAAGCAGAATACTTAAAATGGGTAGAAAGTATGCAAAACGAAAAGTATTTAAATCAGTTATGAAAATTTTTAATGTCCACCAGTTGGTGTAGGGAACCCAAGCCAGTTACGAAGCAGAAAGTTTCTCCCAAGTAAAGATAATGAAGGGTCATAATAAAGAAAAACTTTCCATAGGAAACACTTTTAATGAGATGCTTAATGAAGTTTTTTAATTGGAGAAAAGCAAAAATATCTTGCGTTAATATTAATCTAAGAAGTCGCTGATCCTAGATAAAGTTAATCGGATTTATTACATTTTAAAATAAGATTTAACCTAAGAAATTAGTGCCTATAAGATTTCTAATCTTTATTTAATCTCCTTTCTTTATTGTAAAAATAAATATCCGACACACTTGTTAAACATCAAAATACCCAGGAAACTCGAGACTTAGTGCCCAATTTAAAAGCTGCCTTGACAAGGACACCCTCCCACCAATTGATATCCCCAACATCTCCCAAGGAACTAATCCTTAAGACGACCCCCATAATCCACTTAATCCGCCAAGCCGAACACGTTGGCCTCCTATCAGACAAATGATTTTGGAAAGAGAATAAAGGAGCGGTGTAAGGACATTTGGCAGGCTTCCTCATTTACCCAAGCCCCCCGCCTCCAGCGACCTGCTGATTGCTGCTGTATTTCGGGTCCCTGCCACATCAATTTGTAATTTGTAAATGAAATTGCCTTTGCTCGGCTTCCCTTTATTTTCGCCTGCTCCCTTTTTTTTCTCGCGCCCACCAGTAAAATGCAAATTTGTCAAATTGATTTAAAGCCTTGATGTTGGCCAATTTAAATGCCAAAAAATTAATTACACATGCAGAGGCACACGAACTGAGGAGGGTTTTTGCTTTGTTTTTGAGCTTCCGACATCACTTGACACTGTGTTTTCGGCTGCTTCGAACCTTTGATCTTTCCGGTGGCTTGCTAGCCTGATATTCGGATATCACTGCCCGATTCCCGAGATTCTCGATTCGCACTGGCACTGTCACCTCTCCACTTAATCAGTTGGCAGCTCCGGCCCAAGTCAAGTATCCGCACCGTTGGCCCGCCGCTAAACGAACTCCGTCGCGCTCCCGAGTGAACTGACTTACGGCCACGAGTAGCGCCAGCAGGTGACCCGACCTCAGCTTCGTTAGCAAGCCGAAGTTCGTCCTTATCACAGCCGAAGGGACAACACGAGAGAGCGCAACGCAGTCGCAGAAGAGAGAGCCGGCTTTCGTTGGTGTGTGGTGAATATACACTCACCAAGGGTTGGTGTAGCATCCCATGTGCTTTGGTGTGGTGTGCAGCTCTTATCAGTGTTATCAGACAAGGCTCTTATCGGTCTGCCAGAGCCACATCCTTCCCACATCCTTGCCGGCTGGCTGACGAATGTGGGCAGGCGTCTGCCAGGAATGTGCCAAAATGTCGAGCAAACAACGTCGCCAAACTGGTTTTTGTTTGTTTGTGCTTGAGGCTACGGCCGAATCACTTGCCAGAGGAGTGAGCTGATTTCTCAGCACTTGCTGGATTTCCAGAAAGTCACTCAGTTGTCAGATATGTCAGCAGTCAAGTTGTGGGGTTAAAGGTTACCAAAAGAGAAAATATAACAATAAGTTTATAATAAATAAAACTTTATGACTTTGGGAGTAGAATTTCTATTAATTAGTTAATTTTTAACTATAATCTTTAGTTAAAAATAAATTCTGATTTGAGGGTTTACATTTACTCACCGTGTTCCCTCTCCTCCATGATCCTGATGAAGAGCAATCCTGTCCTGTCTGAATCCTGTTTTCCTGCAGTCACAAGGACCCGGCCACATCCTCCTCCTCTGTCAGTTGTCAGCCTGTCACCTCGGAACATTCATTTTGACTCACTGGCTGCTACCATTCCAGAGTGTGTTTTGTTTTTGGCCAGTCCAGCGCAACACGATGCCAGAGCAAAAGGAAATCCATCGCACTTTCCTCGCTTGGCGCTTTCCTCGGGGCGAAATCAATGCAACGGCATGTCAGCCTGGTTTATTGGCTTCCATTTGGCCCGCTAAAGAGGCCAAACTAATTACCGTGCATAATAAATCAGATCCCTGTCATAGTCTGCCATTAGTTTGACACCACCCGCTCCTCGAGGTCTTCTAGCATTTATGCAAATTGGAAGCAGTGCCCGGGGCGAATATCGCTGTATCGGACGGACGGACGGACGGACGGCTGCCTTCTGCATTATTAATTGCAATTTGTTTGCTATTTTTCCCAAGGAAAACTCCCGCTTGTAACCTAATAATGGTCAAGCACGGGCTTGATTTCGTCGGAGTGAGTATTTGTGGCTTTTCCTTTTGCCTTTCCCCCTGGACAATCGAGTTTATTTATGCAAAATTAATTGATTTCTATTGAAAACGAAGGGATAGCAGTGAATGCAATTGACACATTTTCCCCAGGACAACACCAGAAGGGGGGGCACAATGACGGGTAATTTATAATTGTGGCTCAATTGAGAGCTTTTAAAACGAGATCCTGCGGTGATTGGGCCAAATTGTCACAAATTGCTTGGCAAAGGAAAAAGATTGAAAATATGCTGAGAATGCACTTTCTATAGAGCTTTTTATTCCGCCATTAAAACAATAACAAATTTAGGCCACTAATACTGAAGAAATGACTGATTTCTAAGGAATACATTATAGATTAATTAAGTATAGTCATTAGATTTTAGTTCAACTCAACCTCAACTGCCTGAAAAAGTTAACCCGCTTGCGAGCCTCGGACAGATTGTGCATGTGATCGTCCAGGAACTTGGAGCCCAGTCCAGTTGTAAACTCAAAATCATTCTTGGGCCTTCGGTTAAACAATACATCAGGAGATCCTGTCTTTGGGGTAATCGGCTTGCAACGGTTGGGATAAGGCTGCGAGAATTGTCGTCTATAGGTGGATAGCATCGGGGGTTCCATGCAGTCTTCCACGGCGCCTGTTCCATAACGGGGACTGCAGAAAAATATATTTTAATAATATATAATGATAAATCCATCTCAAGAAATTCCTACTCTTCCATTCTGAAAGATTGAAAGTTAAGCAGCTTCTTCTTTTGTATGGGAATTGCCTTTAAACCGTTGGCGCCCTGCTCGAGCATTGACTGTGTGGTGGTCTGCAGCTCATCCTTGGTTATGGACTCCCACAGCTTGGTCTTCTTTTTGCAGGCCATTCTGATAAATACAAAATTGTTCTGGGTACCTGAAGGTTTTCTCAATGGGAACTCATTTTGCGTAATTCCCCAAAACAGAAATCACATCATTAAACAGAGAAACACGGAAAGTGAGTGAGTCGGGGGCAACATATTATGAATGCCACAATTGAATTCACAAGCGGATTTATTGTGGGCGGAGGCAAATGGCTTCTGATTCAATAGCCGATGAAAATGAAAATCGAATAGTGGGTCAGTGGTGGAAAATGCACAGGATCAAAGCCAAAAGGGGGCGGCATGTGGGTGGTTAGTCAGTGTTTGCTGCTTCGTGTGTGTTGTGTGTGTGTGTGCGCTTTGGTGTGTTTAGTGGGTAGCCCCGGCTACAATGGCCAATAACAATGGCCGTTTGGCTCTTTGGCGTTTCTCATAATGAGCTGCCACCTCTGTTTGCTCGTGCAGCGACATTAATACGGGCTAATTAAACAAACATTATGTGCATCCCTCTCTCTGTGTGTGGAAGTGTGTGCGAGTGTGGGTGGATTGGGTGAGTGAGAGTGTAATAGTGAGCGGAGATGGCAAAGTGATTTTGGTTTTATTATATATAATATATAAATATACAAATAATTTCTCTAATATCTAAAATAAATATTAATAATCATTGATATGTCCAAAATAAAATTATAATTTTCCTTTAATCCATTAGTTATATTATAAATAATACATTTTTGTTTTTTATTTATTTTAACAAACACTTAAATTGCTTTTTATACCAATCCTTAAATTAATATTATACCCTACTATAGAGCTCCTCCCGACTTAAGTCTCCTTCCCATCTCATTCTGCTTGGGTTCATCTTTTATCGTGCTTTTGCCTATCGGACATCGGGTCATCGATGACACCAAACCAAATGCTCAACAACATAATGCCGCCGTGGCGGATTCCGGGCAATCGGAAGTGAGGCCGAAAATGAAGCGGGTGGTGTCCGTGTGGTTGGGGGAGGATGAGGCGGCATGTGGCTCATAAATTATGGGGCAGCGTTTTGCATACACTGCATTTTGCGGTGCATAATTTGCATTTTTAAGCATTTTCACAGTGCATTGGGCATAATTAAAAGCAACAGCGTCATGGACAATCCAGATAGCAAGTCCAGCTTCGATTTCGAATGGGTTTTTGAGGAAGACTTTGGGCCTAAAGGCACTGAGAGAAATCTTTTGAAGCGATTTGAATTGCTAAATATTTTTAAGTAGCTTTTAAATGTAAAGTTTTGAGAAGATTTTGGTTAGTTTAGACCAAACAACAAATTCTTTTATTTTAAGAAATATATTTCCCTAGCTTATTTATACATTTCTTCTCAGTGCAAAAATATTTGCAACATTCGAGCTTCCCTCACCTTTAAGTTTTCTTCGCACCCTCCCCAAGTTGACTTTTCCAAGGTTTTCTGGGCTGTCTTGGCAGCTGCTGGGGCAGGCAGCCGTGGCGCACTTAACAAATTAATGTCAAGCCACAATAAAAGTCAACAGCTGGTTGCTGGGGCGGCGAAAGGCAAAGCCGAGTGCAATGTCATGCTGCGTCTTAGTCGGTGTCGGGGGGTGGTGGTGGCACGTGCAATGAACAGAATCCGACACACATAAGTTAAACAAATATATAGTGCGCACCCGCGCACACATAAAAATGCAGATGCACTTGCCCAGATGCTCGGCGCCATAAAGTCTCCCGGGGAAAAAGCGAAGAAGAACTGCACCTGCTGCTGCCAAAGATGCCAGATTCGAGATGCGAGATTCGAGATTCGAGCGTTGAGATGCTGAATCAAATTTCAGATATTAAATAATCGAATTCCTTGCATGCACACCATTTCATATTCACGTTCTCGCACATTCATCCGCATTCGCACTCATTTCACATTCACATCCGCACTTTTACTCACGCGGAGGGAAAGTTTGCCCTTCTTCCTGTCATTTTCCAGCAAATGTTTTGTATCTTTAAGCGTTTTCTTCCGAGACTTTCCGCTTGACATATAATTTTTATGAGGCAATGCAAGAGCGTGGTTAGGATTTTCAAATATTACAAACATTCAAATTACTCAATTCCATAAATAAATATATTTCTTAAACATTTAATTATGTACAGCTTCTTAAAACAACATTAAATTTAACTTTAATCTAATCCTTCTCCTTAAATTTGTGTACAGCTCTGGCCTCGCATAGTTTCTGTATCCTTTCGTTATCCTTTATGAGCAAAAACTTGTGGCACGCACGTCCGCCCCCAACTTTTGATGGCTGAGGTGTGAAATTTTCCAAGCTTCGCGAGGCAAATAGGCATAAAATTATTTAAAACTCGGGCTCGGGGACTGCATAAAAGGATGCGGCATAAATGCGTGGCAGTTTCTTCTCCCTTTTTTTTCGCACTTCACTCGCTTTTATACATTTTCTTCTAGTTCTGAAGTGAGGTTGCTGCAAGTGGGAGTTTTATTTCTGTCAACAATTTTAGGGGTTTTTATGGTATATTGCTCAGCTTTAGCTAGGGCTTATGTTTAGATGAAATCTTTAAAAATCGGAGGATCCTTTTCCAAGATAATATCCAACGAAATAAATTCGGGAATTGTAACATTTCTTAATTTTATGTAAAGGTTTTTCTTATTTTTCTTTAATTAAGAAACGGTCTTGGACTATATTACTTGAAGGAGTTGAAAGACGGATCTGGTGAGACATCGCAGAGATTCAACGAGGACTTCTCTATGGGTTTTCCCCTTTTTGCAAGATTTTCCTAGAGATTATTAATAAAAGTTATTTTAAAACCTTTAAACAGAACCGATTTTCTGGTTTTTCTTTATCCTGACTCTAAATCTCATACTTACATCCTCCGTAGCGTATGGATATTTGCGTTTGCGGCTATCTGAATACAATTCCTTCAGTGTAATATCTTTTGTACTTGTACCTCTTTCCATTTTTCTGTTTATATACTGTAAAGTCTGAAATCTTTTCAATTTTCTCTCCTTCCGAGTGGAGTTCCATAGCCTCCTGCTGGATGCTGCTTGGCCGGGAAAATTCATATGACTTTCGCTTCTGTTGCCGGTTTTTGCCAAATGAACTTCCTGCGGCCAAAACAACTTCACGGCACTTTGAGCCGGCCCATGGTAACGTGGTAACAACTAAGGGGGCTGCGGAGGGGTTGGTGGAAAAATGCAGTTAAATGAGCGGAAATGCAAAATTAACTCGCCACGAAAGAGCACAGAACAAACAAAGAAATTGTTGTAAAACTAAAAAAAAAAATACAAAAAAATGACCACCCCCTCTCACGCACACACACACACTCGCTCACTGGAAAAGCGAAGAAAAATGAAGAGGAAATAGAGAATGAGAAAATCAAGTGGCGTGGCACCAGAAAAAAAGGGGGAGGAAAAAAAGCAATTGAAAGCAAGTAAAGCGGCAGGAAACCGAGAGGAGAGCAAAAAAAATACATATAATAGCAGAATAAACGTTGCCACTTGGCCAAATTTAATGCAAATATTTGGCCAGCCGCAAAGGGAAATGTTGTTTTTCCTCATCCTGCCGACAGCCTTTTATTGTCTTTCGCTAATGTGATGGTCGCTCGTGAAGGCGATCGGTTAATATGAAGTGATTAAGGGTTTTAAGCATTTGTTTTAAATGTTTTTAAATTTTTTTATATTCTAAAATTTATTTCATTAATAAAAGTAGATGGAATTCCCTCTATTCCGGAAGATTTAATACTATTTTAAGTAATTTTTGACACTTATCTAAACTCAAAAGCCTTTACAAAATATTTAATCATTTATTAACCCTTTGAATTTGATCAAAATACCTTTGGTTAGAGCATATAAAATAAATAATTACCTTCAAATCAATCTTAAAAATTGTTATTGTTAAATTAAACCGAATTTACACAACTCAAAGACCATTTTCCACTTCAGGCTTTTCAGCGTAATGGAAATTGCCTGGAAATCTCTACCAACCATAAAGCAAATTTCCACGCGCCTTTTAAAAATATATATATACATTTCCGGTAGCACCCCTGCAAATTATCCCTCCCCCCCGCTACCAAAGAATTCCGCTGAGCTTGATAAATAGAAGAGGAGCATTTTGAGAATTGTGCATGATTTATCTTTACTTTGGCCCCGTTTTATGCCGCTCTGCTGTTTATTTCCTTGCTGCGACAACGACAACGGCAACGCACTTTTCGGGATTTTCGAAATTGTATTTAATTGCTGGGGTTTGCAAACCAACAGGACCAGGCTTCGCAACGCACGAGGAAGTCCTTCGCTTGGCATTTAAAATTAAACAAACATTCAGCCTCGCCATGGAAATGACAATAAAAATAGCATCAAATTTATGGCATACCGAATTCGGGAGGAGAGGAAAGAGGGAAAACGAGAGAAAATGGCAAGGAGGAGCTGAGCTCGTCGAGGACATTTTATTCTCATGCATCTACTCTCTGTTTGGTCCTATTCCATTTTGGCCTTTTGCTGGAGCTTTTCACTTGAAAAAAAGGGATGAAAATAGCTTAAGTAATAAATGTTGAACTGAAGATTAAGAAAAAATATTATTTTTGAGGGGTTTTTACTTTAACTTAAGTATTTTTAAACTATTTGTAATATAAATTTATATACTTTTCCTGTTTTAAATCAATTTTAAAATAAAAAGGTAATCAGAAAATATTTATTTAAAATGTTCTAACTAAAATACAAAGTGTATACAGTTTATAATTGTTTTAAAATAAAATTCTTTTCTTTTTTGACACATTTTTTCTTTCACTGTCCTTTGGCAAGTGGCGTCTGTTAACTTGGCACTGACTTTGGCTTTTTCAGTCGCACTGACTTTGCACAATTAATGGCCACCTTCTGCCGCAGCTCCACCGCTCCGAAGACCGCCGCTGCCATTCCCAATTTCGCGCAATTATTGCGGGCATTGTGTGAGAACCTTTTGCCAAGTGTCTTGTGTGTCATCGTCACCGCTAAATTTAACATAATCCTCGGATGCTTCGGAGCGAATGCTGCCCACTGCGCCTTCCGTGCTCCTTTTTCGGGCGCCAGGAAATTTGTTGGCAGCTGACGCGACTTGGCCAGGATGTTGGGTGCGCGGTGTCGTCCTTT